GAGGGCCACATCTGGGTATGGAAATTGTATGGTGGGCCATGAATGTTCACAAAATTGGGGATTGGGGTATGGAAGGGGGTGAGGGCTCCAGCTGGGGGTGCGGGCCCTGAGGTAGGGCCAGAAATGAGGAGTTCAAGGTGCAGGAGGGGGCTCCAGGCTGGGGCAGCGGGTTGGGGTGTGTGGGGGCTCTAGCTGCGTGCGGGCTCTGGGGTGGAGCTGGGAATGAGGGGTTGGGGGTTCAGGAGGGTGCTCTGTGCTGGGACTGAGGGGTTCAGAGCGTGGCAGGGGGATCAGGGCTGATGATTGGGGTGCAGGCTGCGGGCGGTGCTTACCTCAAGCAGCTCCTGGAAGCAACGGCATGTCTTCCCTCTGGCTCCTATGCGGAGGCGCAGCCAGGCAGCTCTGCATGCTGCCCCGTCCACAGGTGCTGCCCCTGCAGCTCCCATTGGCCACAGTTTCTGGCTAAAGGGAACAGCACTTGGGATGGGGGCAACGTGCGGAGCCCCCTGGCTGCCCCTACACATAGGAGCTGGAGCGGGGACATGCCTCTGCTTCCAGGAGCCATGTGGAGCCACGGCACACATGGAGCAGGGTAAGCCCTGGACCTCGCTCCCCAGCGGGAGCTTGAGGGCCGGATTAAAACATCTGAAGGGTTGGATGTGGCCCCTGGGCCATAGTTTGCCCACCGCTGTGCTAACACCATGTCCATTCCCTTCTGTCTTCCCTAACTTCTCATAGTTCCCCCACATGCCCTTTGTACCTTCTCTCCTTTCCCTGAACTATCATCAGTCAAGCACCCTCCCAATTCCCCTTCTGAAGAAACTGTATTTTTCTCCTTGTTTTAGTTAATAGTCTGGACAGTGGCTGCATTGAACATTGATTGTTTAATTATTATTACCGTTCATTTTTAATATTTTTATTTCAGTGTTTAATTTTATCACTAATAATATACATCATTCCACTCAACCCCAGTAATGAAACCCTTCATGCAGACAGCTAGTTATAAGACAGGTTTAATTATTGCTACTGATTATTCCTAACTAGAAATAAAAAGGAAATATTAATTAGTTATTATATCAATGTAATTGTTAATCATATTTCTTCTTGAGGAAAAAGTAATGAAAGTAATAATATGATACTCTTTTAATTCAAATACATCCTTTTGGCCAACACCTGAAGAAAGGGACCTTCCTTGCTTGAAAGATTGTGTATTATAACAAATCTGCGGTGTAAAGACCAATGTATCACATTGTTTATCTTATCTAATTCATATTGTAAAGAGAGGGCAACATGTCAATGCAGTATATATTAGTTTGTTAACAACCAAATATAAATAGGTTAAAAAACATAAGAGAATAAAGTGGCAACAGTAATGGGAACGTACAGATTTTGGGTTTTCCAGGACATGTTTCAGACATGGACTTTAAGTGAATTACTGTGGAATCATTGTCAGAAATCCCTGGTGATATTAAGCACTCATATTTTATAGATAGCTATTATGAAAGTGTAAAATTGTATTTTATTCAGAAACCATGGATGTTAACAATATTTACTGTGCTACAGTGTCATCAGCTCCAAAAACTAAGCAAGGTATATCAGATGAAGTGAGTTAGCTGTGAAGGTCATCACAGATAAGTGCCAGCAATGCCTTGATTCTATATCACACCATCAGGTATTCTGTAGATATTATATTACATAAAAAATTTTAAAAGAACATTAAGGTTTCAAAAGCAATCATTCAAAAGTTAGGAAATACCCAAATTAAGTTTGCCTGTGCATATGCATTATGATATTGTCTTTAATTACATGATCCTTTCCACCAAACTTCTGTCTGTAAAGTCAAGCTCCTTTAACAATTATGTATCTAAACTGTACAGACTTCTACACAGGGAGAGGGAAATTGTACTTTCATACATTTTAGAAGTCTCTAAATATTGTGTAAAATAGCTTTTCTGTCCATAATGCAACTTTGATGTTCTCTCTCTCATGATACGTCAGGGCTAGAAACAATAGCTTTATTGGAATGGAAGATAGAACTTCAGTTTCTAGCCTTGATCAGTCACAATATATTAGACCCTCAACTTTTCTTTGGTCCAGGACTGAGTATTACACTCAGACCAATGTAATTCTAGCTGAGAATTCCTTATTTGAGAAGAATGAAAGAAGGACATATTTTTGGGGCATTTTTTTTTAAATTTGTGGCAGCTGTGTTGAAGATGTTTAGAAGTGTTGAATGTCATCTAAGCAGTCCCAATAGAGATTAATTAATTGGTGAGGTACTGGCAGAGAAGTCCAGGTGCATGATAAATGCAGTTTATCAGATAGCTCTGTAATTTATCATGTGTATCTAACCTCCCCTTGTGCTTGGGGTGAATTGGGTGTGTTGCTGTTGTATGCATTTAATACTTTTTTTAGGTTTCATAAAATACACAAAGGCAATATACACAGTTTACAATCTTCGTGAAAACCATAACTTTTGAATTCACTACATATAATGCATTGATGTACTATGTACTATTGTATTAATGAAAACTAGTATTTTACATTTAGAGCCATATTCCCTCCCCTGTTTCTGGCTCCTTTGTAATGAGCATGCAGAAAAAGGGCAAAAAATTTTAAAGTATTTAGGTGCCTAAAGATGCAGATAGGCACCTAGTGGAATTTTCAGAAGCACCTAAGTACCCAGCTCCAATGGCATCTAGGCACTACTGAAAATCCCACTGGGTGCCTAAATACCTTTTTTAAAATATGGCCCTAAGGGTATGTCCACACTGCACTCTAAAACCCATGGCAGCTCCAGCCTGAGCTCTACACTGCTGTTTTTAATGCTGTAGCATAAGTCTGAGTTTGTAGACTCAGGCACTGAGACTTGCTGCCATGGGTTTTAAAACCCAATGTAGACATAGACTAAGTGTCCAGCTGAGAATTTCCTCAAGGTTGAGATCTTTGTTTATATCACACCAGACTAGACATCTCCTGTGCCAACCACCCTCCCTCACCCCTACATCTAGGCTATATTAGGGTAGTGTGGAGTGGAGCAGGCTATAGAACAGCATGTGAAAAGGCTGCTTGCCTTTCCAGTTACAATTAATTTACCAGTTTTGTGTTGGAGTAGTGACTGGGTTATGTGTGGAATAATGGTAACAACAAATCTTCCAAACCCCTCTTGGCATGGTCACTGCTTTGGGGATCCAAGAAGAGATCTAACATATTCTTGATAGAAGGAAGGTGGGAGTAAGGAAGTGCTATACCTAAATATTTGAGTTCATTCACTGTCTTTGAATCAGTAGCCTGGGTTTTCATGTCTAGATGCAGGTAAATCTTTAATGCATTCTCTGAGCTTAATAGTCCAGAAAGTGAGTTAGTTCATTTCCTTTGGTAATTGTGAGCTAAAGTCATCTAATTAATATTAAAAAACATGATAATGAACATGTGGTTTGTTGTAGCAAATTTTGTTCAAATTGCTTAGCTATTATGAGCCAATTAAACACAGAAACAAAACCAATGTGACAATTTTCAGCAATTATTGCCTTACTTATATTTAATATAATAATTCAGACTCAAACTGCATGTCAGAGTGGGCATGTCCCATAAACATCTACACAGCAACCTCATTATCCACCTTCAAATCCCTCCTCAAAACGCGCCTTTTCTGAGTTTGTACAGCACCTAGCACAATGGGATCTAGCCTAAAAATAGGGCTCTATGGTAATGTGAATATTAAATAGTAATAATAAAGATGCTTGTCTTTCCCTCTAGTATATGGAAGAGGCTAGTTTTTGGTTGATACTAAATTTACATGTTCTTGATTTCAGGTATGACAGTGATGGTTGGTGTCCTCCTTTACCGGTTCAGACGTACTTACACCAGGGCCTGGAGGATGAGCTTGAAGAAGATGATGACAGAGTTCCTACACCACCTGTCCGAGGGGTGGCCTCCTCACCAGCAATCTCCTTTGGGCAACAGTCCACTGCCACTCTCACACCTTCTCCACGAGAGGAAATGCAGCCAATGCTTCAAGCCCACCTTGATGAATTAACCAGGGCCTACCAGTTTGACATAGCAAAGCAAACATGGTAAATGTTCGAGTTAGACACACTGTAATAATACAGTATCCAGTGCCAAAATCCTTAGCACTACATGACAACTGAAACTGTTAATTGAAAAAATATATTAAAAAAGAGTATATGGTATAAAAATGGAGCCTAAAAATAGGTATTTTATTAAATTTGTGTTAAAAATACATGTAAAGATGATATTCATCTGGAATGCTGGTATATACTGATTAATTAACCCCATCAACAGGTAACTTTTATCCACACATTTCAGGATAGCAAATAAATTGAATTTATCAGGTCTTTGGAAATAACAAGACACTAAATCAGTGTTCAAACGTCAGATCAGTCACCTCTATTATCTACAGTACCATTATTTTTCTGGAGAATTAGCTTCATTCACATTTACACGAGAATGAAGTATCCACACAGCTAAGAGTTTTGATAATATGTTGAAATATCATCTCTAATTTCAACAAGAAGATAATAGAAACATCAGGAAGAAAGTTGTTAAATTAGACAGAATGGATCTAGTCTGTTAGACTGTGTTTCACTTATTTAAAGGAAGAACAAGCAAATATCACTGTAACATTTTCACTATAAAATAAACATTAGAAGCGATCTCTTCAGGGACTAAGAAAGAACTTTGCAGCTGCATAGGACAAGAACTGAAGGCCAGTTGCTTTCTGGATGTCCCCTAAGTAATAGTTGTCCTTCTAAAACTTTTCCATCTAGAGAAAATAAAAAAAGAGTCTGAGAATCTCAGAAGATAAAGTACAGCTAGTTGCTGAATGGCACTCCACCAGAAAAGAAGTGGACATGCTTCATTGGCAAACAAAGGTCACAACCACATACAATGTTTGCCATCATAAATAGAACAGACAAGTAGACAAACCATGCCAAATCAAAGCCAGCTGTTTTCTCTTGGAAGCCTCTAGGCTCATTTGCAAACTGTATTCAATCCATGGGGTCATTAGGCCCCACTGCAGTACCACATTGCCTATATAGGCCCTAGCCTGCCCAGGGGACTAGCGCAAATCAGAGGCAGCAGCTAATCCTGGCCCATTCCAGTACCTGATTTGAGTCAGCATACAAATGTGTGCCCTGCCTGTGAAGGCTATAATTTGAAGGTGTTATGCTTTCAATGGCCTGCAAACTGTAGGTGCCATTTTGGTGTCAGATGACACTGTGAATCTCATTATGACATCTTTTTTGGGGAGGGCTATCCACCTGATTTTAGCTTATAAAAATACTCCTGTATAAATAGACATAATGCCCATAATCCATATACCCTAACCAAAAGTTAATTCTCTCTTGCCACCTAAAGCCCTTTTATACCAGCAGGCAGGCAAAATTGCTTACTGTAGCAGTGAGGCTGAAATCTCCCTTCCTGCTCAGTAAGTGTACTTCACAACTTGCAAATAAGGGGCAGGGAGGCCATTTTGGAATGTTGCTACCCGGTGACCACACCTGCTTTACATAGCCTGTTCAACTGCAGTCAGATGACCCAACATGGCCTATTGCTGGTGCAAGTAAAATGTTCCAAGTCCAAGCCTCCCTAGCCAGTTCACTGTGAACTCTATTTCTTTGACAACAAGGAGACCAATTCTGGGCTTTCTACCATGCTGACCAATCATGAATAAGGATCCACTTTATAGATTGCAAACTGTCAAGCAAAGTCATAACTGACTTTTGAGTACCCCATCCTGGCCTGTCACAGCGCCCTCTCAAACAGATTGCTCAAGAAAGCAGCTCACAGCTAAGAGACTGGGTCCTGTTCCCCTTATTAGAGTTGCTGCAGAGTTAGGATCCACAGATTTCAAAATCAGTGTTGTGAAGGGCCACAGTAATGACCTCATTGTGTTCTAGTTAAATTACTTCTAGTTGGGCAAACTAAATACATGCTTGCTGAAGATGAGATACAATCCATGTTACCTGAAAACTCTTCTCCTGGAGAACACTGCCTGCTCTTCAGGCTGAATTCCATTTAATAACGTCAAGTTTGGGTGGGGAAAATGTCCTCTTCCTGCAGTACAAGTTGAATTTAAAAACTTTTGGCTTGTATTGAGAGGAAGGACATTTCAGAAGTTTGGGCACTAGCCCGGATCCCAGGAGACCCTGCTCTGCCATAGACTTCCTGTGTGACTTTGGGCAACTCACTAAGTCTCTCTGTGCCTCAGTTTCCCATCTGTAATATGGGGGTAATAGCAATTCTCCACATCACTGAGGTTGTAGTAAGGAGAAGTACATTAAAAGGTAGCGCTCAGATACTATGGTAATAGGTACCATATATGTACCTGAGATAGATATCTGAGTCAATTCTTCTTGGGTTAATAACTTAGCCCTGGTCTACACTAGGACTTTAGGTCGAATTTAGCAGCGTTAAATCAATGTAAACCTGCACCCGTCCACACAATAAAGCCCTTTATTTCGACTTAAAGGGCTCTTAAAATCGATTTCCTTACTCCACCCCTGACAAGTGGATTAGCGCTTAAATCGACGTTGCCAGCTCGAATTTGGGGTACTGTGGACACAATTCGATGGTATTGGCCTCCGGGAGCTATCCCAGAGTGCTCCATTATGACCGCTCTGGACAGCACTCTCAACTCAGATGCACTGGCCAGGTAGACAGGAAAAGAACCGCGAACTTTTGAATCTCATTTCCTGTTTGGCCAGCATGGCAAGCTGCAGGTGACCATGCAGAGCTCATCAGCACAGGTGACCATGATGGAGTCCCAGAATTGCAAAAGAGCTCCAGCATGGACCGAACGGGAGGTACGGGATCTGATCGCTGTTTGGGGAGAGGAATCCGTGCTATCAGAACTCCATTCCAGTTTTCGAAATGCCAAAACCTTTGTGAAAATCTCCCAGGGCATGAAGGACAGAGGCCATAACAGGGACCCGAAGCAGTGCCGCATGAAACTGAAGGACCTGAGGCAAGCCTACCAGAAAACCAGAGAGGCGAACAGCCGCTCTGGGTCAGAGCCCCAAACATGCCGCTTCTATGATGAGCTGCATGCCATTTTAGGGGGTTCAGCCACCACTACCCCAGCCGTGTTGTTTGACTCCTTCAATGGAGATGGAGGCAATACGGAAGCAGGTTTTGGGGACGAAGAAGATGATGATGAGGAGGAGGTTGTAGATAGCTCACAGCAAGCAAGCGGAGAAACCGGTTTTCCCGACAGCCAGGAACTGTTTCTCACCCTAGACCTGGAGCCAGTACCCCCCGAACCCACCCAAGGCTGCCTCCTGGACCCAGCAGGCGGAGAAGGGACCTCTGGTGAGTGTACCTTTTAAAATACTATACATGGTTTAAAAGCAAGCATGTGAAAGGATTACTTTGCCCTGGCATTTGCGGTTCTCCTAGATGTAGTCCTAAAGCCTTTGCAAAAGGTTTCTGGGGAGGGCAGCCTTATTGCGTCCTTCATGGTAGGACACTTTACCACTCCAGGCCAGTAACACGTACTCGGGAATCATTGTAGAACAAAGCATTGCAGTGTATGTTTGCTGGCATTCAAACAACATCCGTTCTTTATCTCTCTGTGTTATCCTCAGGAGAGTGAGATATAATTCATGGTCACCTGGTTGAAATAGAGTGCTTTTCTTCAGGGGACACTCAGAGGAGCCCATTCCTGCTGGGCTGTTTGCCTGTGGCTAAACAGAAATGTTCCCCGCTGTTAGCCACAGGGAGGGGGGAAGGTTGAGGGGTAGTCACGCGGTGGGAGGAGGCAAAATGCGACCTTGTAACGAAAGCACATGTGCTATGTATGTAATGTTAACAGCAAGATTTACCCTGAAAGAGTGTAGCCACTGTTTTATAAAATGTGTCTTTTTAAATACCGCTGTCCCTTTTTTTTTCTCCACCAGCTGCATGTGTTTCAATGATCACAGGATCTTCTCCTTCCCAGAGGCTAGTGAAGCTTAGAAAGAAAAAAAAAACGCACTCGCGATGAAATGTTCTCCGAGCTCATGCTGTCCTCCCACACTGACAGAGCACAGATGAATGCGTGGAGGCAAATAATGTCAGAGTGCAGGAAAGCACAAAATGACCGGGAGGAGAGGTGGCGGGCTGAAGAGAGTAAGTGGCGGACTGAAGAGAGTAAGTGGCGGGCTGAAGACAGGGCTGAAGCTCAAATGTGGCGGCAGCGTGATGAGAGGAGGCAGGATTCAATGCTGAGGCTGCTGCAGGACCAAACCAGTATGCTCCAGTGTATGGTTGAGCTGCAGCAAAGGCAGCTGGAGCACAGACTGCCACTGCAGCCCCTCTGTAACCAACCGCCCTCCTCCCCAAGTTCCATAGCCTCCACACCCAGACGCCCAAGAACGCGGTGGGGGGGCCTCCGGCCAACCAGCCACTCCACCACAGAGGATTGCCCAAAAAAAAGAAGGCTGTCATTCAATAAATTTTAAAGTTGTAAACTTTTAAAGTGCTGTGCTTAAAGTGCTGTGTGGCATTTTCCTTCCCTCCTCCACCACCCCTCCTGGGCTACCTTGGTAGTCATCCCCCTATTTGTGTGATGAATGAATAAAGAATGCATGAATGTGAAGCAACAATGACTTTATTGCCTCTGCAAGCGGTGATTGAAGGGAAGAGGGGCGGGTGGTTAGCTTACAGGGAAGTAGAGTGAACCAAGGGGCGGGGGGTTTCATCAAGGAGAAACAAACAGAACTTTCACACCGTAGCCTGGCCAGTCATGAAACTGGTTTTCAAATCTTCTCTGATGCGTACCGCGCCCTCCTGTGCTCTTCTAACCGCCCTGGTGTCTGGCTGCGCGTAACCAGCAGCCAGGCGATTTGCCTCAACCTCCCACCCCGCCATAAACGTCTCCCCCTTACTCTCACAGATATTGTGGACCACACAGCAAGCAGTAATAACAGTGGGAATATTGGTTTCGCCGAGGTCTAAGCGAGTCAGTAAACTGCGCCAGCGTGCCTTTAAACGTCCAAATGCACATTCTACCACCATTCTGCACTTGCTCAGCCTGTAGTTGAACAGCTCCTGACTACTGTCCAGGCTGCCTGTGTACGGCTTCATGAGCCATGGCATTAAGGGGTAGGCTGGGTCCCCAAGGATACATATAGGCATTTCAACATCCCCAACAGTTATTTTCTGGTCTGGGAATAAAGTCCCTTCCTGCAGCTTTTGAAACAGACCAGAGTTCCTGAAGATGCGAGCATCATGCACCTTTCCCGGCCATCCCACGTTGATGTTGGTGAAACGTCCCTTGTGATCCACCAGAGCTTGCAGCACTATTGAAAAGTACCCCTTGCGGTTTATGTACTCGGCGGCTTGGTGCTCCGGTGCCAAGATAGGGATATGGGTTCCGTCTATAGCCCCACCACAGTTAGGGAATCCCATTGCAGCAAAGCCATCCACTATGACCTGCACATTTCCCAAGGTCACTACCCTTGATATCAGCAGATCTTTGATTGCGTGGGCTACTTGCATCACAGCAGCCCCCACAGTAGATTTGCCCACTCCAAATTGATTCCCAACTGACCGGTAGCTGTCTGGTGTTGCAAGCTTCCACAGGGCTATCGCCACTCGCTTCTCAACTGTGAGGGCTGCTCTCATCTTGGTATTCATGCGCCTCAGGGCAGGGGAAAGCAAGTCACAAAGTTCCATGAAAGTGCCCTTACGCATGTGAAAGTTTCGCAGCCACTGGGAATCATCCCAGACCTGCAACACTATGCAGTCCCACCAGTCTGTGCTTGTTTCCCGAGCCCAGAATCGGCATTCCACAGCATGAACCTGCCCCATTAGCACCATGATGCATGCATTGGCAGGGCCCATGCTTTCAGAGAAATCTGTGTCCATGTCCTGATCACTCACGTGACCGCGCTGACGTTGCCTCCTCGCCCGGTATCGCTTTGCCAGGTTCTGGTGCTGCATATACTGCTGGATAATGCGTGTGGTGTTTAATGTGCTCCTAATTGCCAAAGTGAGCTGAGCGGCCTCCATGCTTGCCTTGGTATGGCGTCCGCACAGAAAAAAGGCGCGGAACGATTGTCTGCCGTTGCTCTGACGGAGGGAGGGGCGACTGACGACACGGCTTACAGGGTTGGCTTCAGGGAGCTAAAATCAACAAAGGGGGTGTCTTTACATCAAGGAGTATTTCAGGCAGGACTTCACGGAGGGTTCCAATAAGAAATGGTGCACCTAAGTTATCGTTCTTATTGGAACAAGGAGGTTAGCCTGGCCTCTGATTGATACATGGCTAGATTTACCTCGCTGCACTTTCTCTGTGAGTGACTGCAGTGTGACCTAGAGGAATGAGTCCCCTAGACAGGGGAGGGGGGGAAGCAAATGAGTACAAAACAAATCTGGTCTATTTCTTGTTTTGACCCACTCCATCTATCTTTTACATCTTTGGCTGGCAGCAGACGGTGCAGAAGGACTGCATGCCATCCACATCTCATGGCTGCTTGGCAGAAGATGGTACAGTACGACTGCTAGCCATCCTCATCTCTTGCCTGCCTGGCAGAAGATGGTACAATACGACTACTAGCAATCCTCATCTCTTGCCTGCCTGGCAGAAGATGGTACAGTACGACTGCTAGCAGTCCGTATCGCCTGCCCGCTCACCATAAGATGGTTCAATAGGACTGACTGCAGGACTAAAGAGAATGACCTGGTCAAGTCACTCCAAATTTAGTCCCTGCGCCCATGTCTGCCCAGGCGCTCCCAGTCGACGTGGCCAGGAGCACCTCGGACATGACGATGACGGCTACCAGTCGTACTGTACCGTCTGCTACCACAAGGCAAGGGGTTGCTGCTACTGTGTAGCAATGCCGTACCGCGTCTGCCAGCACCCAGGAGACATAGGGTGACGGTTACCTGAGCGGGCTCCATGCTTGCCGTGGTATGGCGTCTGCACAGGTAACTCAGGAAAAAAGGTGCGAAACGATTGTCTGCCCTTGCTTTCACGGAGGGAGGGAGGGAACGGGGGCCTGACGATATGTACCCAGAACCACCCGCGACAATGTTTTAGCCCCATCAGGCATTGGGATCTCAACCCAGAATTCCAATGGGCAGCGGAGACTGCGGGAACTGTGGGATAGCTACCCACAGTGCAACGCTCCGGAAGTCGACTCTAGCCTCGGTACTGTGGAAGCGCTTCGCCGAGTTAATGCACTTAATGCACTTAGAGCATTTTCTGTGGGGACACACACACTCGAATATATGAAACCGATTTCTAAAAAAACGACTTCTATAAATTCGAACTTATTCCGTAGTGTAGACATACCCTTACAAACAGCTTTGTAAATACCTTCAGGGTATACTGGAAGATTTGTCTCTTTTCTCATTGGCCCAGCACACCAATGTCTTCCACTCAACCCAACAGCATTTCTGTTTGTCTGTTTGTATAGGCACATCCAAAGCAATACTCAACCTCCTCTGGCCCCAGTTCCACCACTTGGATATGTAGCTGGAACCCTTATTTCAGATTTGGAAACAGACATTCCAGATGATGATGAGGATGACATTGAAGAGGAAGCTATAGAAATCACTAGGCCACTAAGAGGTCTAGAGCATACTCCAGGATCCAGTATGGACAATCTAGAGAGCTCTGTGACAGGTAACTGAACACATTTAACAGTGAAACCAACCTATTTGTAATATTAAAATACATCATAAATCAAATACCTTTTAAGCAAAAATTTATTCCATTCTATTTCTGTGACATTTAAAATATGTTAATATTAAACACTAAAGTTAAAGAAGGATTTGAAAATACTTTTGCTTTGCTGCAAAATGATAAGAAAATTCATGAATTTTAAAAAGCTTTAAAGACATGAAAGAAAACTCAATTATATCCTGTCTTTCATGAAAAGTTCAGTCATTGGGGAAGCAAGTCTGTTACATAAAAAGAGGGGGGAAGCCCTTAACTTTGAAACGATATACTGTATTTTGTATATTGGGAGCAGCATAAAAAGTTAATGTTATCTTAAAATGTTTCTAGATATTTGGCTGTGTAAAAGCATGCACTGATGAACACAGGAAGGTTAAAAGACTTTTCAAAATAAGCTTGGCTAGATCAGCACAACATTTATTTGTAGACTGAAGAAAATGTATATGTAGGTGAAACATATATTTTATACCCACTTCATATTGCTGTGTTTAATAAGTGTTCCATTTCAGTGAAGATATTTAATTATTCTGTCACCTTTTGCTTCACTGTTTCTTATTCCTTGGATGCGCAGAAAAGTTACAACTGCAATCAACAAAGAGGGGCCTGAAAATGCATGCTAAACTATTCCACCGAATCTGAATTAGTAAAATTGCTGTCAAAGAAAGACAGGGAGTTTTCTGAGAAGAAGCTGTTTTAACATGAACATTATGAACCCTTTCTGAGGCATCAATAAACTCTCCTTTGAACTGAAGTTGGATCTGTACGTAATGTACTACATCCATTGATGTATTTGAGTCTATTGATGACTCAAATGTGCATGGTCTTATATAGCTCGTTAAAAAAAATACTGTTTGTCTCTTCAGTCATTGATCTTTATGTGAAAGCACTAATTTCTAGCTATACCTGCACAGTACACTTGCTCACTGGGGACATATTAATGTAGTACCACTTAATTTTATCTCACCTCTCTGTGCCTTACAAGTTCTAAGAATTTTACTCCCTTATCTAAACATTGCAGCTCTGAAAACACATTGCAGTTCCCAGTGATGGAGGCAGTACTGTGACAGTGATGAAGCATCAGTACCTATCATTTTCCTCTTCTTCCCTTGTTGAATTAAACAGTGTACTCCTCTATCCCACTTTCTGGTTTTTCCCTTACCCTGGGGCCAGACTGCTTGCCAAGCTAATTACGATTTAAGAACTGTAGCTCTAGTGTTGTGATTTGAAATCCAGATCCAACTGAAAGCTGTAGAGTTATAGTTTAAATCTTTGAATTCAGAAGGCTGACTTATTAGTGCACGAATATGGTAAGCTACTTTGCCTGAATTTCTAGCATAATCTCCTTCAGGCTATAATTCTGCATATTTTTACATATCTCACTAATGGCTCTGAAGCCTTTCCATTAGGAATGCAGCAAAGGTTTTACAGTGGTAATACAGGACTAAATAAAAAAAAATCAGCTTACTATATATTGTCCCTTCAGTGTTTATTAATATGTCAATATTAGTATATCTGTATATCAGAAAATGAGCATTTCACTCATGTACATTTTCAACTGTTATTAGTATCCTACTTTACCTTATGTGAAAGAAATAAGGACAGCTGCATTTCTGCTGCAGTTAACATACTTCTGGGTTCCTTACAATTGATGCTTTTATGAATAAAAATCAAACCTGCTTTCCTAGATAGAAATACTGCTTAATTATCAGTGTGTTAAAAATCTCAGTCTGTGAAGCTGTATGTTGCAGGAAGAAGTTGTGCTTTACCTCATAACTTGTAAATAATACATATGTTTAGTAGAAATGACCTACAAAATCTCAGGCATCTAGATAACAAATTGTCTTCTGCCTTCTTCAATGA